TCTGTCTCAAATAGCTTCATGTTGGTATACAACATCATTTGCATGTGTTCTGCTGGCCTAGAAGGTTTTGCAGTCTGACAGCACCTGCTATGAAGTCTCTCACTGATCTTGCTCAGAGGCCTTATTCTTAGCCACAATGACTTCCTCCTGTCTGGCTTATATTTGGGATGTCTCTGATGAGAAGCCAACAAGAACAGAGAATCTTTAACTTCCAGCAGAGGCCATGGATTAAAACAGCAGTATTCAGCAAGCTGCATTCCTACAATATGAACAACTAAAACCTCATAGCACATTTATATTTTATGAGAAAAATGATTAAAGATGATTTCTCACTGAAAATAACACCGAGTGATGCAGTTGTCTATGTCTACATATGGTTCAGCTACTGAGATAAGCTGAATGCTTTTAGGAATGCAGGTATTATATTAGGACTGTGGGGCGAGCAGATTGTGGGTGTTTTGCAGGTATATGTATTCTCAAGCAGTAGAGGGTTGCATTCTGCAGATATCACACAATCCCTACAATGTAGAAGCAGGCCATGCAGTTCATTGAATCCCACACTGACCTACCGAAGAGCATCGCACCCACACCCACCCCTATTCCTGTAACTTTGCATTTACCATGGCTAATCCACCCTAGCCTGCACATCCCTAGACACTAAGGGCAATTTAGCATTGCCAATCTATCTAGCCTGCATATCTTTGGACTGTGGGAGGAAACCCATGCAGACACAGGGAGAATGAGCAAACTCTACACAGACAGTCACCCAATGCTGGAATTAAACCTGGGTCCCTGGCAGCTTTGCTAATCACTGAGCCACCAAGATATCTTGGAGTTGGTATAGAAGGATGCTCTGGAAAGGGCAATTGAGCTGGAAGAAGTAGGTAGCTTAGAGAAGGTGGGGCAGTATCAATGGGGGTAAGGTGGTCTGGAGAGGGAAGTTTTTATTTCACTGATTGTTGGTTCCCCAGAGGAAATAGAGAGGTATTTAGGAGGAGTTTTATGAGTCTTGAAGCAGTGAGGAGATTAACCTGGTAAAATAGATGCCCTGAAATTGGTAGGATTGACTTGGAGTAGCACTTTGATGTTGAGATCTTGGAAAGGCAATTTGTGAACTATCCTGTCTTCAAAGGGAATATGTGCTATGATGCTATTTTCCAGTTTCAGTTTACCCTCATTCAGAGTGAGTTGCGTGCTCTGGTTGGTATTGTGGCCCATTTATTGTTCATCCTTGGCAATGCACAGGAAGACAATTCTACAAGGCAATCCTTTGAGTGCAAGAAATCACTGTGCAGTTGGACTTCCAGCAGTCAAGAGCAAATGCAGATTCCTTCAAGCGAGCAGCTTTGTACTGGTTAATATTGATTTTAATGAGCCTTCGTAGAGCTCTACTCATCCAGGCAAATGGAGAATATCCCACCACATTTCTAAGTACTGCCTCTTATCTGGTGGAAAGGTACGGGGAATCAGGAAGTGTGTGATCAGCCTTTAATGTTGGCTGTATGACTCCAACTAGTGAGGGGATGTCCCAAGATTCCCACAATTTCATTTTTTTCTCGGGTTCCTTGGTGCCACACTCAGTTCAATGTTGCACTGGTCGATGTCAGCATGGTGACTCTGACCTCTCCGCTTCAAATCAGCTCTTTCATCCATGTTTGGACTAAAGCTGAACAAAAGATTAGAAACCAGGCAGTCACAGCAGATACCAGGCTAATCATTGAAGAGCAGGCTGAGTAGGTGCTGCTTTATAAAAGTATTGATAGCACCTTTCATCACTTTGCCGATGCTTAAGAACAAGTTGATGATATGGAAATTGCCATATTAGATTTTTCAATCTTTTGTGCTCAATATGTACTTGAGCAATTTTCAGTTTTGTCAGGTAAATACCAGTGCACTATCCAGAGTGGAACAATTATTTGAGGTGTGGCTAGTTCTGGAAATCTTCAGTTCTGCAATAGGCATCTGGTTCAGGCCACAGCCTTTTCTGTATCCAGTGTGCTCAGCCATTTGGGGCAGCATGGTGGCTCAGTGGTTAGCACTGCTGCCTCAGAGAGCCAGGGACCTGGGTTCAATTCCAGCTTTGGGAGACTGTGTGATGTTTGCACATTCTCCCTGTGTCTATGTAAGTTTCCTCCAGGGGCTACAGTTTCCTCCCACAGTCCAACGATGTGGCCATGCTAAATTACCCCATAATGTGCAAGGTTGATGGATTAGGCATGTCTAATGTGGGGTTATGGAGATAGGGTGGAGGCTGGGTATGGGTGAGATGCTCTTTGGAAGGTCACTATGGGATTTGAAACAACAAATGGCCTCTTTCCCATCTGTAGGGATTCTGTGAGTTATTCATAGAATTTTACAGCACAGAAGGTGGCTGTTTAGCCTATCACATCTGCCAACAAAGATTTGACTTTTTGATATCATTTGGTGTGAAATAAATTGGTTGAAGAAAGGCATCTGTGATGCTGCAAATCTCAGGCGGAGGTCATGATGAACAGTATCCTCAGGGCTGAATCTGTTCAATCAGTAGGGGTGCTACTAAGCTTCCATTTTTATTGATGGGCATTGAAGAGTCAGTGTCTTTTCTGTGCCCTTTCTAGTAGTCTTCTTGCTAAGTGCTCTTCAATGTTGAGGGAATGCGGTAAGTGGTGAACAGGAGGTTTTATGCCAAGTTACATTGAAGAGAGGAGCAGGAGTAGACCACCTGACTCCTCAAGCATCCCCCACCATTCATTATAAACATGGCCAATCATCCAGCTCGATGTTATAATCCTGCCCTCACCTCATATCCCCGATCCCTTTAGCCACAGCAGCCGTATCTACCCTTTCTTGAAAACACAAATTTTTGACCACAACCACTTTCTGTCATAATGAATTCCACAGGCACCGTACTCTCAGATGAAGACATCTCCCCTCACCTCAGTCCTAAAAGTTTTCTCACTTATCCTTAAACTATGACCCCTGATCCCCCTTCCCCATCACCAGGAACATCCTCCCTTTATATATCCTGTCGAAACTGGTTAGAATTTTATCGGTTTCCATGAGATCCCACCTCATTCTTCTAAACTCCGGTGAATATAATCCTAATTGACTTAATCTCTCCTCATATGTCAGTTCTGCCATCCTAGGAATCAATTTGGTAAACCTTCGCTGCACTCTCTCTGTAGGAAGAGTATTCTTCCTCGGATAAGGAGACCAAAACTGAACACTACATTCCAGATTCTATCCGAAGCTTTATGAAGTTTGAACACTCACTTGGTTTATATCACTGTGCCACCATCTCTGTTCCATCTGCACTGCCAGTGGAAAAGGACATATGTGGGATTGCTGATGTGAGAGTTTGGGACTAGAGTTGAAAACCTAATTACCTGGTATGCATGTGACAGACTGTAGCTTGGTTAGTCTATGAGACAGAGCTCCCAGTTTCCACACAAGTCCCCAGATGTTAGGGAGGAGGACTTTACAGGGTTAGCTGAGCTGGGAGTGTCTTCATCATATTTTACACTGGTGCCTATATCAATGGGCCATTTCCAGGGCAGTTTGGTGTCACCCACATTGTCCTGGCTCTCTAGTCACATGTAGAACAGACCAGTTAAGGATAGCGGATTCCCTTCTCTAAAGGATATTAGTGAATCAGATGGATCCCGCCATATTCTTTTTTTGCAAAGGAAGTAATTAATTAGCTGGTTTCATATCTTCCCGCGGTGGTGATTGGATTTTGACTCATTGCTGTAATCGGTCATTCGGCGGTCTGTATATCACAACTTCTGTAACACTAATGTAAAGACAGGCTCCCGTGTCTCTGCAATCAGTCCTCCACTCGGCCCTTTGGAGATAGTCCGATGGAGATTGGAAAAGCCTTGTCCTGTTCCTCACAGTGTTCTGAGTGCGTCCCCCTGAGCCAAGCTGGCCACACGCCAGGGTGAACATGCCGGAAAATCCGAAGCCCCGGAGTGGCTGGGTGCTGTGTGTGAGTTTGGGGGAACGGGGCGGATGCTGTTGTTCTGGAGCTTGGTTGCGCTTGGGTTTTCCACAACTCCCTCTCCATCCAGGACTACCCACTGCCGCCCGCCTAGCTTCACAAACACAGCGAACTCACTGCGGGGTTGGAGCGGCTCTGATTCCTAACCAATGTGAAGGGGGCACCCGAGGATAACTCACGTTGCCAACCTCTAAACTCCAAGGCAGCTGCCCCCGGCTCTGCACACCAGATGTAGCCGCTGAGTATTGTTTCTGGTGTGGGAACAAGTGCATGTGGAATTAGACGCAGTCTAGTTACCACTCATTGTCCTGACCCTCATCCCCTCCCCTCCCCCGCGTCCTTTGGTCCATCTAGAGAATTCCTCACACGAGTTTCCATATACGGGTCTCTATCGCTTCTGTTCCCTCCTGGATCAGACTCCTGTTTGATCATTCCCTCTTTGCTGGCCCATTGGCCCTATCTGCACCTATCTGCTCCTGGCTGAGTGGTGCATCCCCTCTCCCTCTCTCCCTCTCCCTCTCTCTCTCTCTGTGTCTCAGTCTGACAAGTTGCTAATGACAGATTCTCTGCACGTCGGACCACGTGAACCCGCCCCAGCAGCTCCATAAAACATTCATTCTGTTTCTGCACCGTGAGCTTGCAATCGGCGGCGCTCGGACCTGATAGCGGGTCAGTCTTCTCTGTGCCTCTCAACTTGAGCAGCTCCAGCACAAGGGGGAACAAGAAGCACGTTTCAGCATTTACCGTCCAGTTCCCCAACCCCCGGCGGCTCTATGGATCGGACTTTGCTGACTTCTGGGTCTCTTTGATGCTGACACGGCGGCTGGATGTGGATCTGTTACCTTTCCTGTTTCGCTCCGGAGCGATGCTGACTGCACTGTGGGACCCTCCTTTCCAAGCTGCCGCCTCCCGCTCGCCTCAGGCTTAAGTTTGCCGGCTCTAGCCCCATCCCACGGAGCTGTCCAACAGCCTGGTGCCTCTTGGAAAGCAACACCGCCGCTGGGCGATTACGGACAAGGCGATGGCCGAAGGTAAGGAAAGGTTTCAGGGAAACCGAACTAGAACAACTTTCCTCTCTATCTCCCTGGGAGCTAGGAGGGGGCAAGAGATAACAGTAACTTCAGGCGGGCGAATTATGTTGAATAAACTCGGTGGGGGAAGGGGGTGGTGCTGAAGGGAAATTACAGCATTTTAATTCGTGTTGAGAATCAGGCTGAAATTGTTTGCTCGTGGGGAATGGTTCAAAAATCTGACCGATTAAAGCAGGGGCGCAGAACATGAAACGACGAGAAATGTTCCGCACTTTGTGAACAGGGTCAACGAGGAAGGAGCTGGTTTAATGTCAGAGTGTTCTTTAGCCGAACTGCGTGTCAGTAATTAACGCTGGCTCTGACTGAACCGCGTATCCAGAAAGATAGGCATTCCTCTCCCCCACGCCCCCCTCCCCCACCCCCCAACCTCCTCCATCCATCATTCCTTCCCTCCCACCCCGGGCGCTAGATGAATTCCCAGGGAAAAGTTGGAAGCGTCAAGAGCGAAGGGTTTTTCACAATCCAATACTAACTCCGGCTAATCTCTCAGGGGAGAGGGATGAGAGTGGGAAAGGGGGTATTAGCAATCTCTGATCAGGGCGTGCTGGAAGGTGACCTGGATCCTCTTTAGTGAACACTGGCAGACAGACTGTAGGGTTATGATGATTGGGAAGGATTGTTCAGGCGGTGCGCAGTGAAAATAACAGAACAGGCTCTCTGTTTAACAACCCGGAGCCTCTCTCTCTCTCTCTCTCATGCACACACATACACTCCCCAGGTGCTGCAGTACCTGAACGTTCTCCACCTCTGCCCCAGCCCCATAGGAACCGGCCTCAGATGGAAACGTCCTGTGAGATATGCAATGGCGAGTTCTCATGGTTTCCAATAGGTTTTGGTGTGTGGACGAGAGGAACAAATATATGCCAGGATCAAGTCCAAGTGAGGCAGAGAGGGGTAAGGGAGAACGGGGTTTTGCTGAAAGAAGTATTCAGATTGTGAGATACAGAGAGGAATTGAAATACTTTTGTGGTAGGCACTCGGAAAGAACGAGATGCACGAAGCGATAAAAACACAGAGGGAACTACACACAAATAGACAGACTGGAAGGTAACAGAATAAATTAGAGAGAAACTATAATAAAGACGCACAGAGACTTGGAGTATAACAAAAGGAAGCGACAGGTATATGGTTACAGAGGATGGTAGGTGGTTAGATACACAGAACACAGAGGCTGAAAACTGGGATGAATGGATAGGTACAGAACGGCGAGATACCGGTTTAAATTATTTGAGACGGCACAGATAGAGAGGGTGGTCTGAAATGGAACAGGAGGGACAGATGTACAAAGAGAGACATATGTGCGTTTACAATTAAATGATAAAGGTATAGATTAAATATAGAGATGAATCGAGATGGATGAGCAAAATGTTGTGGATGTTGGAAGTCTAGAATAAACAGAGTTAAATAGAGGTCCAGCCAGTTAGTGGTGTAGAGATTGGATTAGAACAGGAATACAGATAGATACAAGTAAAGCAAGAGAAAGATGAGATTGCCAATGTGATAAAGACTGTAGGAATGGAGAAAGAATAGTCGGAGACAAAGAATCAACACCATGATACAGATGAGTGGAGAACCATATCTTGCTGGTCTACATCGAAGCAGACTGCAAGAATTCGTGAACTGTTACAGCAGAGAAGCCGTTGAGTAGAAAGCGGGAAAGTGAAACAGAAAAGTGATTCTCTATGAATTGTTTGAGATTTATGTCCAGGAAGAGTGTCTTGTTTCACTGAGGGCTTAAGAGAAGGGTCAGCTTGGGTCCCTCCACGTGTCGGAGTCTACTTGTAACTTCTCCCTCGTTCTCCCACCGCCAGCTGCCAAGAGGGAGGGTCGCTGCAGCCTGGTCTCAGTTAATCCCAACCTCAAACTGACAGCAAATGGTGGCAGTGATGCCAATGGCACGGAAATCCTTCCCCCTGCCCCCACCCCCGCCCCCAACACACGCACACACACACACAATACACATACACACGCACACACAATACACATACACACACACACAAGCACACACAATACACATACACACACGCACACACACAAAATACACATACACACACGCACACACAAACACATTCATTACCCTCATTGACAAAACATCCACATTACACGGAATAAATTCAGCTCCGGAAGATTTTTGAAAAGGCCCTCGTTAAGTTCAGACAATGACACGGTGTCGGGAAGGGGGCGCTCCACTCCCACACACCTGAACATAATGGGATGGGGATAACCCTTTCCATCCTGTTCTGGCCATTCCGTATATCCAGTGAGTATATGTGTCTATGTGAGAGGGGTGGGGTGGCGGGGGGGAGGTGGGCTATGTTTTTGGGGGCTGGGGTGGGGTGGGGTGAGTATATCTTGGTGCAGACGGAGGTAATCAGTCTGGAGTGTAGGCAGCCTACAGTATTAGACTGGGTGCTTTAAAACGCTAATGAGCAGGGCTTGTTGGTGATATCAGGGGAAAGGGGCAGAGTTATTCACGGCTGTCATCAACAGAAGTACAGCTGGACTGAGAACCTGCCCACAGACTCGGGTTTGTGCAGTTAGTGTAGAATGTGGGTCCACTCACTGTGTGGCTAAACAGAATGGCAGCTATAAATCACTGGAGTATCTCCGCTGTGGGCCAAAATGACAATATCATTATTCTCCTTGGTCCACAGGAAACCGGCTCCTTTTCCTAGCACTCTGCTTGCACTATCTCCCTAAAGTTGATGCTTGCCCCAAGGATTGTACCTGTTACAGCGAGCCCATGACTGTCAGCTGTCAACAGCAGGGTTTCAAATCGATTCCTGACGGGATCCCGGTCAGAAGCCAACGGATCTTTCTCCAGAACAACAAGATTCCCTTGGTGAGCTCCAGCAGCTTCAGCTCTCGGCAGAACCTAACAGTGCTGTGGCTGCACTCCAATAACATCAGTGTCATCCAAGCTGGGGCGTTCGCGGGCTTAGAGCGCCTGGAGGAGCTGGACATTGGGGAAAATATCAACCTGCGCTCCCTGACCCCCACCTCGTTCCGCGGCTTGGTGCGCCTTCACACCCTGCACCTTCACAGATGCGGTCTCTCGGAACTACCAATAGGCATCTTCAGAGGGCTGGTCTCCTTGCAATACCTGTACCTGCAGGAGAACGTGCTGGAGAAACTGGACGATGACCTCTTTGTGGACTTAGGCAACCTCACTTCCTTGTTCTTGCATGGCAACAGGATCCGGACACTGTCAGAAAACGTGTTCAGGGGATTGCGCAGCCTGGATAAGCTGTTGCTGCATCAAAATCGGATCAGCTTGGTGCACAGGAGGGCTTTTCATGATCTGGGCAAACTGGGCTTGTTGTACCTCTTTAATAACAACATAACCGTGCTAACTGGACAGACCATGGACCCTCTGATCTCCCTGCAGTATCTCCGGCTGAACGGTAACCAGTGGATCTGTGACTGCCGGGCTAAATCCCTCTGGGATTGGTTCCGGCGTTTCCGGGGCTCCAGTTCTGTCCTGGAATGCCATGTCCCATCGCGACTGTTTCAGCGCGACCTGAAAACGCTGGATCGCCGCGAGCTGGAAACCTGCCTGGATTCCTCTCACCAGATCCGGACCAGCATTTTCAGCACCAGGACCAGATCCGGTAAACTGCCCACGGTGGAAACACCGTCCGGTGCGCGGGATGGGGCCATCAAGTGCTGCCAACCAGACAGCGAGCAGTCCTCTCTCATCTACACCAAAGGCAAACCGGCCCCTTCATCGTACAACAGCAGAGAGTCCACCAACAAACCGCTCAAGGACAAAGAGAACATCTCCAAGAGCAGGTACACGGAAAACGACCTGTCCAAAAACGGGACCTACAAAACTGGCTTGAGAGACGCTCCTATGGGAACTTTCTCTGCCAAAATAGACCAGTCCTTAGACATGCTCAGTCCGGAGCTATTAAACAACCTGGACTCCTCCACGTCGCCCACGACGAAAAAGAAGCGAAAGTGTTATAAAAAGCCTAAAACGGACTCATCCCCGTGCCGCCTCAATAATGGGTCTTACAGAAAGCACTTGTGCAAGACAGCGTTGGCAACCGTGTCTCTCCTCCCGTTCTTGTTGCACCTTTGGTGAAAGGGACAGTGATGGCTTTTCAGCACTGGCCCGGAGCAGTGCAGCACTTTCACTGACCTCCACAGACAATTCAAGAGAAACAATTAATAAAAGTGAAGAAAGCTTTGATCGTTCGAAACAAAAGTAACTTGGATGCCTTTATAGAAAAAAATGTAAAACCAGAGTTGTGTATATACTTGTATGTGCTCAATCATTAAAATAACAGATTCGACCTTTCGAATCCCATCGAGATTCAAGCTTTTGCAAGAAATAAAAAAGGACTGGAAACGACAAAAAAAGAAGTTCCAAGTTTAATTTGCTGATCGAACATCGAGTCAGTTTTACGGTGCAGGATCAGCCACTTCAAAAACAAAAAAGAGGCTGTTGAGAGGCGGATCGATAACTGGGAATCCATGTTCTGGTATTTGCTATCTCCTTTGTTGAATTTTGATTTGAGGATGGTTTGATTTGATTTCCCATGTGGAATGTTGTTCTTAGGGCTCCGCTGTTGTTTTTCCCCTGCTCCTGACGTGCCGACTCTCCATCAATCTCACTCCCGCTGCATTTGTTCCAGAATGCCGCCAAACGCAGGCAAAAAAACCCCAACAAAACCGTGGACCCGTTTGATTTTACTTGTGTAAAAGGTTGAAATATATTAAAAAAATAAAAAAAGCGATTTTTTTAAGATATCCTTTTCGTCTAAGACTCTGTGGGATCGAACGAATGTTTAATTGTCTTGATTTTCGAAAGTACTCAGTTGCCTTTTCAAAGTTGCAGATTTATTTATTCAGTCTGGAGTGTGGAGATGAAAGCCATATCGAAAATACCAAGACAGAGCTGAGAAGGGTGTCTCTGGCTGGGCAGAAATGTAGGGATTTTAATGTTACTCTGTGTTCTGCCGTTCTATTCCAGCATCCAGGCAAAGCTTCGAAATGTTAGTTACTGGGAATGTGTAGTTGTCATTTTTTTTTTGAAAACTGGTTAAATGCACTCGATTTAAAATAAAACACAAATTAATCACGTTTACACGGGATAGATAGAATTACAGCGTGGCTACAATCAGAATCATTTGGACAAACATTAGAAAAAGCAGCTAATGTAAAGGATACACTAGGCCCATCTAATTCCAAATCGCTGTACTCCCAAAGATACTGAAAGCAATGACCCACCACCACCCCCACCCCGCCCCCCGTCAGGAATGGACTTTCTCGACGCAGCACCCGCCATTTACCCCCCTCCAATATACCCCACACATTTTCAACAGCTTTCTGACCCTGTTTAATGGTCTATCAATTTGTAAAACCACCGCTAACCGGGTCTCAGTGTGACTGAACGGGGATGAAGCGATTTGGACCTATCAATGAACAGTGTAGCGAAAGGACAAAGAACCAGGCGAATCTCGTCGCCCTCACTGTTGATCGTAAGCCCATCAGTAAAACATTCTTTCCCCCAACTCGTGTAGCTTCCTAATTCCGACCTTCTTAAATCTATGCTGTCCTTGCAGAGGTCAACTTGCATGCCAGGCTACAGTTCCGTGGGTGTAGAACTCCCCTACTCCTCATCCCTCACAAAGTAACCTGTAAGTATGTGTGAATGTATATACGTATGTACTGTAATACAGATGTATTTATGTTGTATGTATCTATACGTATGTACTGTATGTACGTATACGTATGTATGTACTATACGTGTGTATAGAGAGTTTTGTTAGAATGAGTAAAGCTTGGGACAGCAGGCCGCAACTGTTCCTGACCCTGTTCCAAGGTTAATGTTAAAACAGTAACCTCCCTTTAACTGGGCGGGGAACGGGGGGTGCAGTTAACCCCGGACAGATAGGGAGGGGGCTGGTAATTGAACTTGGGGCAGACCCGGTCGGTCAAACTGAAATATTTACCCGTTCAACCGGTAGGGATAGAATTTTAGGTGAAACTAAGCAATTCTTTTTTTAAACCCACTGTTAGTGTTAAATCCCTTTTTGTTTTCTCCCTAAAATCTTCAGTCCAGACTTGCTTTTTTTTTCAATTTGCCCTCTGGCTTTCTCAGCCCACTGACTAGCAAAGCAGGAGCATGAGAGCTGCTCCTAGGGTTTTCCGCAATGTACTGCTCGAGCGATTGCAGGAAGCAATGGGCGAAAGATAGGGTCCACCTAGACTCTGGGTTGCAGAGGGGCGGCCTGGTGGAATTCGTGTCATTGCGTTGCAAACAACAAAACCAAACCCTGCAATTACCCACCAACACAGAGCTCTCATTCGCTGCAGGGGCAAAACTGCTCAGACTGTTTCTGACAGGATGCATGCACGGATTGAGGTGAACAAAAACAGCAGAAATCAGAAACCAATGCTATTCAATTTCAACATAAACACTTCAAACGGATCATCCCGCACTGCCAAATTAAAGAAAATAGAACAAAAAGAGAGAAGAAAATCCAATAAGTTCGCCAGGGGCTTTTTCCAACCGAATTCCACTTTTTTTTGTTCAAAATTAATTAAACATTATTGAAAGTCTAAGCTTCAGAAGTAGCACTCTGTAAAATCTCTGACAAATGAGGACTGGGTACATTGCTCTGTATCTCAACTTTTTTTTATTGAATGGCCCGAATTAGATTTCTGTCAATCTGTCTCCATTGATTCCATTCCTGTCGCTTTGACCTTTCTCAGTGTTGTGAAATATTTCATCTTGGCCACAGGCAGCTCTCGTGCCTTTAGAATCCCTGCAATGAAGGTGGGAGTCCGAATTCACTGGGGAGCAGAGGAGTCCATTGATCGTGTCCTTATATTGACCAGTTACACGACACTTCAAATCCACACGCCTCCCGTGCGTGGCACATGGCATTCAATGCATCACATTTAAATTCGTTGAGTTATTTGCCGGCAATGCCAAAAGCACGGGAAATAAATGCCACATGTTGGATTGGGATTGGAGAGAATGATCAGTGGAAGTTGTCTTTTCGTGGGAGGAGCGAGGTACAGATTTGGGGTTAATTGAGTTGGAAATGAAGAGCTAACAATCCTCAGGCAGCAGATGAGTCCTCGCTCCGTGTGCTGAGCAGAAGCAAGAGAGTTACTTGTCAATAATACCTATATTAATAAAACATTAATGTTGCTGAGGTCTATCCCTTTAGAATGAAGTCTTTTATTCTTCCAGTCTGTTGGTGTATGGTAAAGATCTCTTGGCAAATTGTAAGAGGGTGTGTCAGTTCACAGCAATGTTGTCCGATTGACGCACCTTTGAGGAAGCTTCTTGCTGCAGCGGCCGCACTTTAATGCTGCCTGGGCTGTAAGGATCAGGTCAATAAATCCCAGGAGCGCCCGTCAGCACTGCCAAGGTATCTTGTCTTGAAAAGGTTGCCAGAACGCCAGGGACTGCATGCGAGGTCAGCCAGGCAGTCAGTGCAACGCTTCTCTATTGCTCTGTCTAAAGGAGCATCTGTCTCACTCCAGTCCCTGGGGACTGCTGAAATGATGGTCAGCGACAGAGTGCTGTTCTCCAAGAAAACAATGCTGCAAACGGTTTTACTCCTGCTCAAAACCTCGTTAACGTATTATTGTTGAACAATTGTTCCAGCTATCAGGTTAAACCCTAGCGGGTTAGAACAATTCTTTACCCAATCTGCAGGAAGCAGTGATCTGATTTTTTTCCCCTTTGTGTTTGTGTTGGTTTGTGAACCTCAGGGAATGTGTGAAACAGGCCACGGATCCACTCTAATTAGCGGAATTGACAGCTGGGAAAGGGTAGAGGTTGATACCGGAGCTTCTGTTTGAGTTCAGCAGGAGAAATTATTTTAAATAAATAAAGTAACATTGATTTGCATTGTTTTTGTCTTTCTTTCAGCTGAACTATTGTGTGTTACCGGACTTTAACACAGAAGGAAAATTACTAATTTCCTGATTTTTTTGTATCGAGTTACAATTGATCAACAGCTGAAATTTGTGTTTGGGTTTTAATTGGATTTCAAACCAAATTTGCAGCTTTAGATTGGCTTTTCTTCAGTGGATAAGTACAGCCATTCAAATCAGGTAAATTCAAAATGACTATCAAATTTAAATCTGCACTAATTTCATAAATCAGTTCATCTTGCCCGCGTTTTGCTGCATTGCAGTCATTTCGAATATCTGCTGCCATGATCCAACCCCGATTTCAGTAGGTGACAATGCTGGTGAGCAAAGTAAGTTGCACAAAGAATGTGGAGTTTGAGTACAACTTATTTCACACGAGCTGACTGCAGGTGTTAACATATAAGCAGTCAGATCAGAGAACAAATGTCTGCCTTGATTGCAGCATAACAAAGTCTGGAAGAACCTCCATATTCTCATCCAACTGTGATATCCAGGACTGAAGGAGCCACATGTATTCACCCTATTCTATAAACCCCAAAATGGTGGCATTCCTACGTACTTATCTAACAGAATACTCCCAAAGGAATAGAGCCTCTTGTATTAATCCAGTCGTATTCCCACAGATATAGGAAACAAAGAAATAGTAAGACAAAAAAGAACCAAGGCCCAATAAACGTGCCTTCTACCATACTGGTAGTCACATGGTGCAACAAAAAAAAATCTAGTATTTATGTAGCATTTTCCATGACCACTTGAAATCTCAAAATGCTTTGCAATTAACGAAGTCCTTTTGAAGTGAAGTCATTGTTGTAATGTAGGGAATGAGGCAGCGAATCTGCACATAGCAAAACTTCCCCAAACAGTAAAGTAATAATCACCAGAATAACAGAAGACAAAAGCACTGTTGATGCTGGAGGTCTAAATAAAGCCAGAAAATGCTGAAAATACTCTGCAGGTTAAGCAGCATTTGTTCACGCTATACGTCAATGACCTTTCATGAGAATTCACAATAATAATGGAGTTGGTTATCCAAGGTGGAGTATAATGCTCCAATTAATGTGATCCTTGTTTGCCTATCCTGCTGTATCCTGGACAGATGGGATCAGACATACTAGACATTTTTTCATATAGATAGTAAAGTACCTCTCTGAACACACTGTCATGGAACAGTCAGATTATAATGTT